AAACTTTTTTAAGGACCAAAGTTGTAAGACCTTATCACCTGTTCCATGATGCGCCCCATCTACTGCAGGAGTACGGACGGACGGACAGACGGACAGACGGATTGGATGGAGAGAGGAGAGGTACAAGTGGAGGCACTGAGCTGTAATGAAGGGTGGTGGTGATGGTGATAATAGTGGTGATGATGATGATGATGATGATGATGATGATAGCTCCCAGATCATTATTACACACCTGCTTCAAAATTCCATCATCACCGAACCATTTCTCATTCCCGGCCACCAATTCCAGGCTTTTCAATGAGGAGGGGGAGGGGGGAGGAGGGGGAGGGGTGGAGGGGGGAGTCATATGTAGGTTATATAGACAGGGGGAGAAATTCTGATTTATGGGGTGAATGAGGTAGTTATGGGATGAATGGGGTAGTTAAAGACCCATCAGGGAATGTTCTTACTGTATTGATGTGGAAGACGAGAAAATATTCTTATTTCATGGGCTGGACGGAAACCCATGTTCCCCATAAACCCATGTTAAGTGATAGTGGAGTCATGGGTGAGGTTATTTCATGGGGTATACGAAAATGCCCTTTCCCAAAAAAAAAAAAAAAAACATACTAAAATAAAAGAAATTATTAGTGTCCAATTATACACCATGTATAAAAAGTCACCCATGCAGGTAATGGGTTGCAGAGTAATAATAAAAAATAATAGAAGCAATTTACAGGAAAACAAATATATCATGGGTTGAAACGGAAACCCATGAGTGAATACTGAACACAGCCCCACTCCTGCCCACTCCTTACTCCCTGTCCTGAATTTTAGGGAGGGGAAGGAAGGAGAGGAGGAAGGGGGAGAAGGGGAAGGAGGAGAGCTAAGGAGGAGGGGAAGGAGGGAGGAGGAAGGGAAGGAGGAGAGCTAAGGAGGAGGGAAGGAGGAGGAGGAAGGAAGGGAGGAGAGCTAAGGAGGAGGGGAAGGAGGAGGGAGGAAGGGGAACAGTATCTATTTTAGAAAAGAAGAGAAAATCAATAAACACGGAAATAAAATAACAGACACAGAAAGAAAATGGAAACTCGAGCTTCAGGGATTACTAATGCATTACAGAATTTTCAGGTCATCTTCACTCTTACAGTCTGAAGCCCCTGACCTCCTCTCTCTATTATTATTATTATTATTATTATTATTATTATTATTATTATTATTATACAGAAAGGTTGGTATCTCGTGGTTGTTGAAAATTCATAAATATTAAGTATAAAAAATCTTGTGTTTACGATTCAGACATTTTTTGAGTCAGAATATAAGAATGAGATGCCAAATGTCTGTACACTTTTCACACGTATGTACACACACACAAACTATTATTGTTATTCCATTATTTTATTATTTTTATTATTCTATAATTAGAGACACGAGGAAGCACAACAGGGGGCGAGAGAGGTAGAGGATTATGATAGATTTTAATGTGATCAAGCTGACAGTAATAGGATTTGTGGTGTGTAGGGGCAATGGTGGTAGGGGTGATGGTGAGTGGGGATGGTAGGTGAGATGGCAGAGGGGTGATGGTGGTAGGGGGCATGCAGGGGGTGATGGTAGGGGTGATGGTGGTAGGGGGTGATGGCAGGCGTGGAAGGATGGCAGAGGGATGGCAGAAAGGCATGCAGGTAGGGGGATGGCAGAAAAGGATGGTGAAAAGTGATGCAGGAGGAGCAGGGAAGGATTATGGTGAAAGGACGGCAGAAAGGATGGCAGGAAGGATGGCAGGGGCTGAGGCAGGGAAAGGATTGCGTAAAGGATGGCAGAGGAAGGACGGTGAAGGATTGCAGAGAAGCGATTTGGCAGAAAAGATGTGTAGAAAGATTGCAGTAAAGGATTATGAAAGATTTAAGTAAGAGGAAGATGAGAGGGGGGGCGATTGCAGAAGGATTTCATAAAGATTAAGAGGAAGATTTTGAGAGGGGAAGATTTATAAGAAAGATGGCAGAGGAAGGATAAGGAAGAGGGGAAGGACGGCAGAGGAAGGACGTGAAGGACGGTAAGAGGAAGATGGGCAGAGGAAGTGATTGGCAGAGGAAGAGGGAAAGGATGTACAGGGAGTGATGGCAGAGAAAGGATGGCGCAGAGAAAGGATGGCAGAAGGATGGCAGAGTAAAGGATGGTAGAAGATGGCAGAAAGTGATGGCAGAGAATGATGGCAGAGGGGGTGATGCTGCAGAAAGATGGCAGTAAAGGAGGCAGAAAGGATGCTAAGAAAGGATGGCAGAAGGATGGCAGCAGGAAGACGGCAGGGGGGATGGCGGCAGGTGATTAAGCAGCAGGTAAGATGCGGCAGGGAAGGATGGCAGCAGGAAGGATGGCAGAAAGGGATGGTAAAGGATGGCAGGAGAAAGGATAAGCAGGAGGGATGGCAGAAGGACGGCGGTAAAGGATGCGAGTAAAGACGGCAGAAAGGATGGCAGTAAAGATGGCAGAAGATGGGCAGAAGTGATGGCAGAAAAGGATGCGGCAGGGGGTGGGGGTGGGGGGGGTGATGGCAGAAAAGGATGGCAGAGGGGGCGGATATATAGGGGCGATGGCAGGGGGCGGATTACAGAAAAGGATGGTGGTAGGGGGCGGATGCAGAGGGGGCGACGGCAGGTGATGCTGACGGCAGCAAAGATGCTGTTGCGCGATTTTACAGGGCGACGGCGGTGAAAGACGGCGCGACGGGCAGAAAGTGACTGACGGTGAAAAGCTGACGGCAGAGGAAAGAGGCGGGCAGGGGCTGACGGCAGCGACGGCAGAAATGACGGCTAACGCGCTGACGGCAGAAATAATGGCGAGGCTGACGGCAGTGCTGACGGCAGAAAAGACGGCAGAAAGACGGCAGAAAGATTATGCATGCGCGACGGCATTAGGGGCGACGGCACAGGGAAGACGGCAGGCGACGGCAGAAAGACGGCAGAAAGACGGTGCAGAGAAAGACGGCAGGCGTGACGGCAGGTGCGGACGGCGGCGCAGGTGCCAGACGGCAAGAAAAAGGACGGCGGTAAAAGATTGCGCAGAAAGGATGGCGCAGAAAGGACGGCAGAGGGGGGCGACGGCACAACGGGCTGGCGGCAGAGGCTATGACGGCAGGTAAAGGATGGGCAGAAAGATGGCAGGGGCGACGGCAGGGCGACGGTGTGATTGCGGTGAGGGAGGGGGCGATGGCAGGAAGACGGGGTGGCAGGGGGATGGCAGGTTGCGGCAGGGGTTTGGCGAGGCGGCGGCAGGGGAGATGGCAGGTAAATATGCGCAGGGGCGATTGCGGCAGGGGGCGATGGCAGTGATTATGGCAGAAAGATGGGTGGCAGGGGCGATTGCGGTAGGGGGCGGATGGTGCAGAAAGATGGCGGCAGGGCGATTGCAGGAGGTGACGGTGGAGAGGGACGGCAGGGGCGACGGAAGGGGGCGATGGCGGCAGGGAGGGCGGATGGCGGCAGGGGTGATTGCGGCAGTAAAGACGGGGCAGGTAAAGATGTGCGGGGTGCGTAGGGGCGTGCGCGGAAGGACGGAGGTAGGGGTGATTGGCAGAAAGATGGCAGAGGGTGATGGGGCAGAGGGATGGTGGTAGAGAGGGGCAGAAAGGATGGGGTGGAGAGAGGATGGTAGGGGAGATGGTAGGGGTGATGGGTGAGTAAAGATGGGGAGAGGGGGGGGTGATGGCAGAGAGGGATGGTGCAAGGTGATGGCAGGGGTGATGGTGGTAAATGATGGTATTTGATTGCGGTATGTTAATATGGTGCAGGGTGCGACGCAGAAGAATTTGCAGAGGGGGGATGCAGGTAGTAAGAAGTAAGAGGGCGATTTAAGAGAGGAGATTGGCAAGAGAGGTGACGCAGAGTGAGGACGGCAGAAGATGCTGTGGGGATTAAGATGGCGAGGGATAAGACGGGCGGCGGTGGGCGCTGTAAGGTGTGGGCATGAGGGGTGGGGAAGGACGGCGGTGATGGGGGGATGATGGCGGCATAGAATAGCGCGATCGGCGGTAGGTGAGCGGGCATGGTGCAGCAGGGGCGATGGCAGGGGGGCGGACGGTGCAGGGGACGGCGGAGGGGAAGACGGGTGTGTGTGGATGGCGGTGTGCTGACGGCAGGGGGCGGATGGCAGAAGGGTTACTTGGCAGGGGGATGGCGGATGCAGGCGAGGGGGGAAGGACGGCGTTAGGGCGGCAGGGCGACGGCAGAAGATAGGACGGCAGAAAGACGGCAGAAGATGGCAGAAAGACGGCAGGGGCGACGGCAGAAAGACGGTGCAGGGGTGATGGCAGAAAGATTGCAGCAGGGGCGTGATTTAAGAAAAGACGGCGAGGTAAAAGGACGGCAGAAAGGATGGCAGAGGTGGGTGATTTGGCAGAAAGATTGGAAAGGGCGGCAGAGAAGGACGGCAGGAAGATGGCAGGGCGATGTGCAGAAAGGACGGCGGCAGGAAAGACGCGAAGGGGCGATTGCAGAAAGGATGGCAGAAAGGACGCGAGGAAGATGGCAGAAAGATGGCAGAGGGGCGATGGCGGCGTCGGCGATGGCAGGGGCGATGGCAGAGGACGGCGGAAAGATGGCGGCAGGGTAAAAGATGGCGGGGAGGGGGAAGATGGCAGTAGGCGACGGCGGCAGGTGCGACGGCGAGTAAGGACGGTGGCAGAAAGGACGGCGCAGGAAAGACGGCAGAGGGGGGCGGCGGCAGGAGGGTGGCGATTTGCAGATGGGCGTGATGGCAGAAAGTATGGCAGGGGCGACGGCAGAAAGACGGCAGTGGACGATGGTGCAGGGGGTGACGGCGAAGGTGACGGCGGTGAGGGGGTGGGGGTGTTGGGGGGTTTGGCGAGCGGCTGGGCAGAAGACGGCGCAAGAAGGTGGCAGTGATTGAAGGGCGCGACGGTAAGAGGATGGGCGGCGGGCAGGATGGAGAAGGATGGTGCAGGATGGGGGACGGGCGGGATATGATTTAGGTATAAAATAACGGCAGAAAGTAAGCGTTATGATGCAAGGTTATGGTGCGAGGGGGGAAATGGCGGTAGGGCAATGATGTAGGGCCGATTTGGCAGAAGCGCAGGTGATTTGCAGAAAGATGGCAGGGGTTGGCGGAGTGAAAGAATGTGTAGCAGGGTGTGGGCAGTGGAAGAGTGGCAAGAGGGCAGCAGGGGGCGGTCTGCAGGCGCAGGAGGTGGCGGTCAGGCAGGGTATGCAGGCGGTGGGAAAGGACGGTTGTAGTGGGGGCGGTGGCAGGTTTGTATTGCGGAGGCGGTTGCAGGGGCATGACTTGGCGGGGACTGGAAGCAGGGTATGCGGTGGCGATTTCGCAGAGGGCAGTGGTGACGGCAGGGGCAGGGAAGGCTGCGGCGATGGCAGGGGCAGGGCGGCGGCAGCGGTTGGCGGCCAGCGGCAGGGCAGCGGCGTGCGGGTTGATGGCAGCGTGGGTGGCAGGGAGCAGGGTGGCGCTGGCGGATTGCAACGGGGTAGGGGATGGCGGAACCGGCGATTTTTGCACGGGTAGGGGAAGTTTGCGCTGGTGATGGCAATGCGCAGGGTATGGTTAAAGCTGTGACGGGGGTAGGGCAGCGTTGCGCTGGTGATGGCAAGGCGGTAGTTGCGTGGTGGGCTGGTGATTGCAACGGGGGGCGGTGGAGGGCTGGCGATTTGCACGGCAGTAGGGTAGCGGCTGATTGCGACGCAAAGTGGTGAGTAAGAAGTGTGGAGCTGGCATCATAAAGCAGGGCGCTGGCCGGCGATTTTGAAGGCAGAGAAGGGTTGGCGCTAGGTGATTACACGGGGTGGCAGGGTGGTGGGTGGTTGGGGTGAGCTGGTGATGCTGGGGCAGGGGGTAGGTTGGTGCTGGTGATGGTACGGTGATGGCAGGCAGTGCTGGTGCTGCGATGGCACGGGGGTGGGGCAGTGGCTGGTGCTGGGTGATGGCACGGCAGAAATGCGCTGGTGCTGGTGATGGCACGGGTGGCAGGGGCAGTGCTGGCGCTGGTGATGGCAAGGGGTGCAGGGGCAGGGGTTGCGCTGGGATGGCACGGGGGGCAGGGCAGTGCCTTCTGGTGATGGCGAACGGGGTGCAGAGGGGGGCGTTGCGCTGGTGACGGCAACGGGGCAGCAGGGGCAGTGCTGGCGCTGGCGATGGCAACGGGCAGAGAGGCGGTGAGTGCTGGCGCCGGTGACGGCAAGGTGGCAGGGGGCAGTGCTGGCGCCGGCGATGGCACCGGCAGAGGGGCAGTGCTGGCGCTGGCGATGGCACGGGCAGTAGGGGCAGTGTTGGCGTGCCGGTGACGGCACGGGGTGGAGGCAGGTGCGTTGGCGCTGGTGATGGCACGGGTGCAGTAGGGGGCAGTGCTGGCGCTGGGATGGCAACGGGGTGGCAGGGGGGTAGTGCTGGCGCTGGTGATGGCACGGGTGGTAGGGGGCAGTGCTGGTGCTGGTGATGGCAGGGGTAGGGGGCAGTGTTGGCCTGGTGATGGCACGGGGGGGGCAGGGTAGAGTGTTGGGGTGATGGCACGGGGTGGTAGGGGGTAGGTTGGCTGGGTGAGGCAAGGGTGGCAGGGGGCAGTGTTGGTGCCGGTGATGGCAAGGGGCAGAGGGGGCAGTGCTGGCGCTGGTGACGGCACGGGGGGCAGGGGAGGAGTGCTGGCCTGGCGATGGCACGGCAGGAGGAAGTGTCGAGTGCTGGCGATGGCAACGGGGGGCAGAAAGGCTGGCGCTGGCGATGGCACGGGGGCAGGGGCAGTGCTGGCCTGGTGATGGCAACGGGGTGCAGAGGGGCAGTGTTGGCGCTGGTGATGGCACGGGGGGCAGGGGCAGTGGCTGGTGCTGGCGGATGGCACGGGGGTGCAGGGGGAAGTGCTGGCGCTGGTGATGGCAATGGGGGGCAGGGGGCAGTGCTGGCGCTGGTGATGGCACGGGGGCAGGGGGCAGGCTGGTGCTGGCGATGGCACGGGGCGGCAGGGGGCAGTGCTGGTGCTGGAGATGGCACGGGGGGCAGGGGGCAGTGCTGGCGCTGGGATGGCAACGGGCAGGTGCAGAAAGCTGGAGCTGGTGATGGCACGGGGCAGAGGGGCAGTGCTGGTGCTGGTGATGCACGGGGGCAGGGGGCAGTGCTGGCGCTGGTGATGGCACGGGGCGGTAGGGCAGTGCTGGTCGGCGATGCACGCAAAAGGCGGCGGTGGGCTGGCCGGCGACGGCAACGGGCAGCAGGGGCAGTGCTGGCGCCGGCGATGAACGGGCAGCAGCAGTGCTGGCGCTGGCGACGGCACGGGCAGAGGGGCAGTGCTGGCGCTGGTGACGGCACGGCAGAAGGAAGCTGGCGCGAGGCTGGCACGGGGCAGGTAGGGCAGTGCTGGCGCTGGTGATGGCACGGGTAGAGGGCAGTGTTGGTGCTGGTGATGGCACGGGGTGAGGGCAGTGTTGGCTGGTGATGGGCAGTAGGGCAGTGTTGAAAGCTGGTGATGGCATGCAGGCAGTGTTGAGGCTGGTGATGCACGGGTGCAGGGGTAGTGTTGCTGGTGATGGCAATGGGGTAGTAGGGGCAGTGCTGGTGCTGGTGATGGCACGGGTGGCAGGGGTAAGGTTGAGCCGGTGATGGCACGCAGAGAGGGGGAGGCTGCTGGAGATGGCACCGCAGAGGGGGCAGTGCTGGCGCTGGCGACGGCACGGGCGGCAGGGGGCAGCGGGCTGGCGCTGGCGATGGCAACGGGGCAGAGGGGAAGAGTGCTGGCGCCGGTGATGGCAACGGGGCGGGCAGGGCGAAGTGCGGTTGAGCTGGTGATGGCACGGGTGGCAGGGGGCAGTGCTGGTGCCGGTGATGGCACGGGCAGGGGGCAGTGTTGGTGCTGGCGATGGCACGGGGGGCAGGCAGGTGCTGGCGCTGGTGACGGCACGGGGCGGGTAGGGGCAGGCTGGCGCTGGTGATGGCACGGGGGCAGGGGCAGTGCTGGTGCTGGTGATGGCAATGGGGCAGGGCAGTGCTGGCGCCGGTGACGGCAAGGGGCGGCAGGGGCAGTGCTGGCGCTGGTGATGGCACGCAGGGGCAGAGCTGGCGCTGGTGATGGCACGGGGTGCAGGGGGCAGTGCTGGCGCTGGCGATGGCAACGGGGCGCAGGGGGCAGTGCTGGCGCTGGATGGCACGGGGAAGAGGGGAAAGGCTGGCGCCGGCGATGCAACGGGGCGCAGAGGGGGCAGTGGTTGGCTGGTGATGGCACGGGGCAGCAGGTGGCAGTGCTGAAGCTGGCGACGGCAAAAGAGGGGCAGTGCTGGCGCTGGCGATGGCACGGGGCAGGGGGCAGTGCTGGCGCTGGTGACAACGGTGCAGGAGGGGGGCAGTGCTGGAGCTGGTGATGGCACGGGGCAGGCAGTGTTGGTGCTGGTGATGGCAACGGGGGCAGGGGCAGTGCTGGCGCTGGTGATGGCACGGTGGCAGGGGGTAGTGCTGGTGCTGCGATGGCACAGGGTGGTAGGGGGAAAAGCTGGTGCTGGTGATGGCAATGGGGTGCAGAGGGGCAGTGCTGGCGTGCTGGTGATGGCACGGGGGGTAGGGGCAGTGCTGGTGCTGGTGATGGCACGGGTGCAGTAGGGGTAGTGTTGGCGCTGGTGATGGCAACGGCAGTAGGGGGCAGTGCTGGCGCTGGTGACGGCACGGGCAGCAGGCGCAGAGTGCTGGAATGGTCAACGGCAGAGGGGGCAGATGGTGCCGGCGATGCACGGGGCAGAGGGCAGGCTGGCGCTGGTGATGGCACGGGGGCAGCAGGGGCAGTGCTGGCGCTGGCGATGGCACGGGGGCAGGGGGCAGTGCTGGCGCTGGCGATGGCACGGGGCAGTAGGGGCAGTGCTGGTGCTGGTGATGGCACGGGTGCAGTAGGGGCAGTGCTGGTGCTGGTGATGGCACGGGGGTGGTAGGGGTAGTGTTGGTGCTGGTGATGGCACGGGGCGGCAGGGGGCAGTGTTGGCGCTGGTGATGGCACGGGTGGCAGGGGTAGTGATGCCGGCGGATGGCACGGGGTAGCAGGGGCAGTGCTGGTGCTGGTGATGGCAATGGGCAGGTAGTGCTGGTGCTGGTGATGGCACGGGCGGGTAGGCAGCAGGCTGGTGATGGCACGGGGCAGGGGGCAGTGGCTGGCGCTGGTGACGGCACGCAGAGGGGGCAGTGCTGGAGGCCGGCGATGGCAACGGGCAGGGGAAGAAAGTGCTGGCGCTGGTGACGGCACGCAGAGGGGCAGCAAGCTGGCGCTGGCGACGGCAACGGGGCAGGGGGCAGTGCTGGCGCTGGCGATGGCACGGGGGGCAGTAGGGCAGTGCTGGCGATGGCACGGGGCAGCAGGGGCAGTGGGTTGGTGCGCTGGTGACGGCAACGGGGTGGCAGGGGTAAAGGTTGGTGCTGGCGATGGCACGGGGTGCAGGGGGGGGGGCAGTGCTGGCGCTGGTGATGGCACGGGGGGCAGGGGGCAGTGCTGGTGCTGGTGATGGCACGGGCGGTAGGGGCAGTGCTGGCTGGTGATGGCAATGGGGTGGTAGGGGGTAGTGTTGGCGCTGGTGATGGCACGGGGTAGGGGGAGTGTTGGGCTGGTGATGGCACGGGGCAGAGGGGGGCAGTGCTGGTGCTGGTGATGGCACGGGCAGTAGGGGCAGTGCTGGGCTGGTGATGGCAAGGGGCAGGGGCAGTGTTGGCGCTGGTGATGGCACGGGCAGAGGGGGAAGAGTGCTGAGGCTGGCGTGTCAACGAAAAGGGGGCAGAAAGCTGGCGCTGGGATTCACGGGGCAGAGGGGGCAGTGGGGGGCCGGCGATGGCACGGGGGCAGTAGGGGGTGCAGCTGGGCGCTGAGCTGGCGGGGGGCAGAGGGGGCAGCTGGTGCTGGCGCGGATGGCACGGGCAGCAGGGGGCAGTGTTGGTGCCGGTGGCGAGCAACGGGGGGCAGGGGGCAGTGCTGGCGCTGGTGATGGCACGGGGCGGCAGGGGCAGGCGGGCTGGCGCTGGCGATGGCACGGGGTGCAGCAGGGGGCAGTGCTTGGTGCTGGTGATGGCACGGGGCAGGGGGCAGTGCTGGCGCTGGTGACGGCAACGGGGGCAGGGGGCAGTGTTGGCGCTGGTGATGGCACGGGGGTGGGGGGCAGTGCTGGCGCTGGCGATGGCACGGGCAGGTGGCAGTGTTGGCGCCGGCATGGCACGGGGCAGAGGGGCAGTGCTGGCGCTGGTGATGGCACGGGGCAGAGGGGCAGTGCTGGTGCCGGTGACGGCAACGCAGAGGGCAGTGCTGAGCTGGCGACGGCACGCAGTGGCAGAAAGTGCTGGAGCTGGCGACGGCGGCCGGGCAGAGGGGGCAGCTGGCGATGGCACGGGCAGTAGGGGGCAGTGTTGGCGCTGGCGACGGCACGGGCAGTAGGGGCAGTGGCGCTGGCGATGGCACGGGCAGGGGGCAGTGGTTGCCTGGTGACGGCACGGGGTGCAGTAGGGGGTAAGGTTGGTGCTGGCGGGATAATGGGTGCAGGGGCAGTGTTGGTGCTGGTGATGGCAACGGGTGGTAGGGGGCAGTGTTGGCGCTGGTGATGGCACGGGGGTAGGGGTGAAGTTGGGGCTGGTGATGGCACGGGGGCAGGGGGCGAGGGTTGAGCTGGTGATGGCACGGGGGGTAGGGTAGTGGGGTTGAGCTGGTGAGTGGCACGGGGTGCAGGGGGTGAAAAGGAGGCTGGTGATGGCACGGGGGTAGGGCAGTGTTGGTGCTGGTGATGGCATGATGGGTCACGAATGAGCTCCAGCCATCAAATCTA